CCATAAAAATATGGTCCGTTTGCTTATCTCTCTCTGGATACCGGGAATCCTGTGATCACAACTCCTTGCTGGAAAGGATCGGAATAGAAAAAAACCCGGAGCAAGGGGCTCCCTCCCCAGTTAGGAGAACTGTACGGCGAGGCCTACAGTATTCAGTGGGTTTAAATCATCAGGTGAGCACCCCTCTGTATGCCTTTAATCATGGGGTGTAAGGCGGAAGGCATATCGTCACTTGTTTATTCACCCATCAAGCATGGAACATCAATATCGGAATTTCACATGTTCACGAGTTTTGGTTTTCCATTAGTTAAGTTCGGCACATTTCTATTAGATCTTGCATATGAAACTCACGGTTTACATAGGTGTTTTTTTTATCTTCATTCATTGTTTAGCTTGGCACATTTATATTAGAATTCAAATTAAGGTATGTATTTAGAGATTGTTTTTAAAGATGTAGATTGAAAACAGATGGTTTCTATCTGCAGCAATACGATAGTATAAACCAGCCACCACATTCACATTTTGATAGTTGTAATTGTGACAACAATGTAACTAACTACTCGTATGACTGCTTTTCTGGGCAATGTTTGCTATTGCCACATTGGGGCTGATTAGGCTGATAAGTAAAACACAGACCCTATCTCCTGGCAATCTGCAATGTGGGAAGGGACTGCATATCATTTTCAAAAGAACAGTGGTAGGCAAGACTCTTCAATGACTTTTGCTAAAAATAGGTTAACAATTGGCCTAGAAAAAATCTTTTTTCTTCTGAGCAAAATCAGATTTGAAGCAGAACTCCAGGTTCAACAACAAAATAAAACAAAAATATAGCCCCAGCAGTGGTAAAAATATAAAAGAAGAGTTTGCTATAATACTCCTTTTAATACGCTGCTGTCTCTACAGAAAAGGTGTTCGTCCACTAGAGGAAGCTCCTCTTCGGGGTTGCATCAACATGTTGGGCTAGATTCACAGTACTGCTACACTGAACCATGCTTACAGACATTAAAGTCACCCCCCCCCCCCCCACCCCATGCTGCTTTAAAGATTTACCTTAAAGTGATGCCTCTTGATCCGATCATATTCCTTCTAGTAGTTTCCAGCAGTCCCTCCAGTGCTGGCGCCAGTCTCTGATCCAGCACAGATTGCTGTCTCATCCTGTCCCATCTGGTGTGCAGGCTCATGGCTGCGTGCATTCACTTACAGTGAGTCTCTCCTCTTCTCCCTGCCGATGATCCCCACTGCGCATGTGCCCCGCACACATCCTCCTGCACGGCCGCTCAGGAAGCAACATATCTACAGCCGGGAGCGAGCGGCAGAGAGACAGAGGTACGTTTTTACCTATTTGGTAACTTTTTAAATTAAAAAAAATTAAAATGTTTTTGCATATATCTACTGCTTGCTAGAAGTAGTAGTAGAAGAAAAAAATTACTTTAATGTCACTTTAAGTGAGTGTCATTTAATGCAGGAGTAACACTCACTGCAAGACAAGAAGAGGAAGGAACTATGATGTCATATATGTAACCTTTTTTCTTTTTAAATAAATACCTGGGGAGGGGGCAACCCCTGTAAGCACAGGTTCACTTAAAACCAGGGGGGGTCACTGTCCCAGAACAAGCAAGCATAGATGTGCTCTGGCTTTCATTTTCTGGACGCGTGCCTCAAGCAGTGACTTTAAGTATTGAAGCAAAATGCAGCCAATAACTTAATATTCACAAGCAAACCAACAATGGGAGTTCAAATTTGTATCTTATGAAAGGTATACTTTAAGAGCGTTGTAAAGCGAGTACATAGGAAACACATGAAGTAACTGATGTCACAGTGATTGAACAAGGACTTGCGATCTTTCTTCAACTGCAAACAAGAATAAATATCCATTCAAGGAAGATGAAGCTGTGCCGCCAAGGTTTTAACAAAGAGTGGCTACATATCCTGCACAATCTCATTAAAATAACAGACAACAGTCTTGGACCCTCACTGGTTCCCCACATCTCAGGTGTCAGGACAACAAAATGGTATTCCACCTTGTCCAGAGATTGTAATAATACATATTGTGCGCTGGCAGTGAACCCACAGCATCCAACCCAATACCGATGTCTCACTCTCTGAATAATCCATGATTCATTGCATCATATCCACTAAGCATTTTAATGAACAGCTTATCGATGATCTGTCAACTAAAATGATGGATGTCTATAGTCTACATTTTATTTTAACATCTTTCAGATGTGTAACTATATCTTTGCATGTTAGAAAAGCTCATAGTACATGCATGGATGTTTTACATATATCTTTGCATGTTATAATAGCTCATAGTACATGCATGATGTTTCACATTTACCTTATACAAAGAGCTTCCTCCAATGATCCAGATGAGATCGAGCCTGTCTTTCATTTCCGGTGTCTCCAGCAGCTGAAGAGCCTCATCTAAACTCTTGGCTAGATAGTGAGCACCATTTGGAGGTTCTCTGGAAAGAATTTAGGATAAAAATGTATTAAAATAGAAAACATCTTGAATCTTTCCTCAAACTGAAATGCAAATCAAATTAAGACTATCATCCTTTTTTTGTTTACTTAAGGGAGGAGCAAGGAAATTTCACAGGTGGCAACTTATCACGGTACCACGCTTGAATTCACTGAGCTCCTGAGAGCGACCCATTCTTTCACAAATGTTTGTAGAAGCGTCTGCATGCCTAGGTGATTGATTTTATACATCTGTGGCCATGGAGGTGATTGGAACACCTGAATACAATGATTTGGAGGGGTGTCCCAATACTTGAGGAGGAGGGATCACCCGATTCTATGAGCTGGCTTGCTCTTAAGCGGTTTCGTCCGATGATCGCAAGGTGTATGAGCAGCTTTAGACCGGTCCCTGGAGCCTCTCTTCCCCTCAGCTGAAGCCGTCTAAAGTCTCTTAAATCATCACGTTCTATACACAGTGTAAAGGACATGAGGACACACCATTGCTGCAGCATAAAAGACAGGTTGGTGGGAGCGCTGTTACATCTGGCCAGCTCCAAGGAATCGGGTGAGTACACCTTTGTTATTTTCCTTTCTAGACCAAAACGTGCAGTTAACCCTTGCAGTGCGGGGGGGTAGCCCCACTGCAAGGGTTAATAATTTTCCCTGCAGTTCTGCTTGAAATATATTAAAAATTTGTTGTAAATGAAGGGAAAGTGAACTGTTCCAAGAACTCTGCATATAATATGGAGATGTCCCCCAACATCTTCACCCCCCACCCTCTGTATGTGCTCAACGGACATATCCTTTGGCCCCTTAAGAATCTCACCAATCCCACTCTCACCCTTGCACAGATGAATAGTTACCAAGTTCTGACGGGCCTGTCCTCCGCTGTTTGCTTACATCCTGCAGTGGATGTCTTCTCCTGCCTGCGCAGTGCATCCCCATTCCCTGCCATGAGGCTCATTTACCACGGCCCCCCAGCCGGGAGACAGGCCACATAGAAGGCAATGGGGATGTACTATGAAGGTGCAAGCAGGAGAGGGAGACGTTTGCCCAGGATGTCAACAAACAACAGATGTCGGACCTGTCAGAATTCAGGAAGTATTCATCTGTGCACAGGGAGGGAGGAATAGGAGAGGTTATCTCAGGTGGCCTAAATGATGAGGGCACTTAGTTTTAAAGTGTACTTATCCTTTCAACTTACCAGGATAGAAATATGGAAAGGGCAAATACCCATACCCGGAGTGACCTGGAACAAACCTGCCAAGTCCAATGTTCAGACTTCACTGGCTGCAGGCTTCTTTCAAGTCAATGCCTTGCTAAGTTAGCAAAGTCATAATGAAAATTACAGCTCTTTCTAAATGGATACAGAGACATAGCAAACATACTGACTTTTTGGGCACCACCATGACCACTGTTAAAATAATAATAATAAATATATATATATATTTTTTTATACAAATGTAAGTGGATGGTGGTGCCCAAAAAGTCAGTTTGTTTGCTATGTCTCTATCTAGCTATGTATCTGGCACCATTTGAACCCCCGTACATTCCCTTACTAGCTCTTTCTAAAACAAGACTGCAATAGAAACTTTTATAGGTCTACTATAAAGTAGAGGTTTACTATACTAGCTTCAAAAACTTTACCTACCAATCTAATTTTCAGAAGTTAGTATGAAGATTCTCCGGTATTGTCAGATAAATCCACAGACAAATTAATAAAATAATGTTTACATTTGCAAGGACTAGATTTCTAATTGTGACAATGTCTGTTATAGAGGACTAAACCTTGAACTTCTAATCTTGCTGCCTAAATTAAAGATGTGTGTATTACCCAATGTACACTGAGACTATACACTCTTTCTTCGCTGTTACTATGGCGATAGTATATGTATGATCTTTCACTCCGGAGACATAAAAAAAAAAAGAGACAGTCAAGGCCATATGTAGCAGCAGCAAATGCTTTTCAGAACGCATATATCTCAATGGATTCTGACACTCTGGAACTATTAAGTGTTCAGTATACAAATGAGCACAAAAATACAATGCAGAATCTAAAAGGTTGAACAAGGCTTTATATGAAGGCAGATTCTCTCCTACATTGCTCAGGTTTATAGTTGGTTATACTCTCCTATACTGGTCATAACCCAACTGCATAAAAGTTTCTATGTATTGATATAACCTTTACTTCGAATGTATCATTCAAGTTTGTATGGAGTAATTACTACACAACCCATGACCCTCTTGGCTTGCAAAAATTGCATTGCTTTATAACACAAGGGCCCTGATTTAAAAAAAGTGACAATTATTTCCTGTAGAATGCAATGACAGTCACATGGTTAAAATAAAGATTCTTATCCTTGTGTTAAAGCGGACCTCTACACTCAAATAATCACATTCCGCTAATGCATCCCTCTATGTATGATGATTAATAATAACATAGACATGTCAGGTGTAAAATGCTGTGATTTTGAAATACTTCCACTTGCAGAGCATTCACTTCCTGCTTTGCAAGGGCAAAATGACTTCAGTTTGCCAAAGCAATGCACACTGGGATTGCCTTGTCATCAGCGGAGGATTGCCGGGAAATCTCGTGGAACAGCATTTTCCTCCCCTGAGATGATGTGCATGGTCACATGTCCTAGTCACATGTGTCAGAAATCCAGGAAGTAATAGGAGAGCTAGTAATCTGCCCTTTGTTAACATGGCCATTGCCAGAAGACTGGGGAAGAAATGAGAAATAAAAAAGGTATGCAAAGAATACAAAGCCGGCAATTATCTAGAAGTATGTGATTGTAGATTGTCATTACTAAACATTTCTAAAAGGTGTGTTTGTTGTTATTTTAAAGATATGGGTAAAGGTCCGCTTTAAAGCTTTCTGAAATGAGCCTAATGTACTGTACATAAAATTCGACATGTGCACCATGCAGACTACTTAAAACAAAAGAAAAACATACGGGGAATAAAGGAGAAGGAACTGTAAGGTCCCTTTAACATGAGTGTTCTGTCGGTCTATGACCTATCATTACACACCGGGGTGGACAAATGAATATAGAATTCAAGAGCCAGTCTGTTGAATCCAGGAACCCGCAGGATTTTTCTTTTGAGGAGCCAGCTACATTGACAGCAGCTTGATAAATCTTTAAAAATTAGGCACCATCGGATGTATGCTGATAATGCTGCCATGCCTTTGAGGCATTTGCCTCCATGTAACTTTGTACCTTACCTTTTCTATTTTTACAATAAAGTTGATTTCTGATTTAAAAAAAAAATAAAAAAAATTAGGCACCAGCTGTACCTTCTACATAGCATTAGCTACTTGGATCCATCCAGCCCTGAACTACACAGATTAAAAATGGAGTGCAATACATCCCTATAGTGACCAGATGTAAGGGGACGTGCATCCACCTATATTCACCCACTTCTAAGTCTGTCTAAGGGTGGCATACATTGTTAGATTTTCACTCAAACGGTTTAGTTGCTGCCACAAACCCTCGTTTAGCTGCAGCTCTACTTAAAAGGAGAACTATGGGGTTAGGGCTTTTCCCCATAGTTCTCCTTAGGGTAACTGGAGGACACAAACTAGCGTCCTCCCGTCACCCTAAGCTCAGTATATCGTGGTACACAGAGACGCCGCAGCTGAAGCGTATCCCAACAATTATGTCTGGATCCGCCCAGCTGCGTGAGTGACAGTTGGCTCTGCCTATCTAGAGGCAGAGCCAGCTGTACCCGGCCGTTCTGCCAGGTCAGCGCTGAAGGATCGGAGCGGGGAATTGAGAAGTGAGCGAACGCCGGTCTCATTGTCACAGGTGGGCTAGAACTATGAGGTGAGTGAAAAGCACTCACCTCATAGTTCTCCTTTTAAGCTTAAAAAATAAATAAGCTGGTTGGTTGCCACGGGCAACTGCATCAGATTCTGTCCGCTCCAGTTTTTATGAATTCTCCCCATAGTGATTACAGAGGTCCATTTTTCCTCCATCCCAAGATGAAGAAATAAATCAGGACAGACCCAGATGTCACATACGACATACGTCTCCATTCTCATCCGACTCGGCAATGGACCAGTCTGGTATTCCCTGCTGAGACAGGACAGATGGGGCCTAGGGGCCTCCACCCCGCAAAAAAAAAAGGGGGGAGAGCAAGAAGGGATGTGGAATGTGAATACAAGAAAAATTATGTTCCTACGAGGCCAGTCCCAACTACATTCTAGCTATTGACAATACAGTACATAATGTTATATAACAGAACTAACACTGCGGCCTTGAGAAATCTCATTAAATGTAACAAGAGCATAGTCTCTTCCATACTGAAAGCAGCTTACATAGCAGTTGGAAGAGCATAAAAGTGGATAAATACTTGTTTTGGTCTAGGGTCTAAATTAACAAAGATTTACTTATCTGATCCTCCTCCTGTGGTAGTGACCGCTCAGCTCTCTCCCCTCTACTCAGGTATTTCCCTCTGCATCCTCACATCTAATACAAGCCAGTGGACTTGAATTACAGGCGTCGATGTCAGCGGGGCTTAGTGGTTGCTCGTGTCCCCCAGCAAATCTTATGCTGGTGGGTTTGCACAAACTTTTAAATAAGTGGGGGAACGTGTGTTTTTTACTCCTCCTACTGCTCCCCAGCACATCCATACAATTAGCATTCAGGCTGCTGGAACACATTGCATTCAGCATCAGTACCCCCCATAGTGCACAGACTGAGAAAGTTCCTGAAGTTCTTGCATTGCAACACACCACTAGCGCTATACAGTTAAATCTGAATTCCATGCAAACCGCTAAATACACAGATCAAATACATATGTGGGAGCCATTTTACCTTCCAAGAGATTTGTATTTCTGTTCATACGTTTTTCACAGCTCTGCCCCAAAGCACAGCCCTGTCTAGCAGGGGACGAGGACCTGATAATTCGAGCTGCAGTTTTAGCTTCACTGTCCGGTCCATTCCCCACCCTGTGACTGGACAGAGAAAGGAGAAGCAGCACATTGATAATTAGCAAGCTCTTTGCACCTAAGCACACCTAATTGAGTAATTGTGCTGCTTCTCCATGCCCTCTTTGAGCTCTACTGTACAGAGACTACAAAAGGCTGATATCAGGTCAAACTCAGGAACTTACAATGCTCCAAGGCAATAAGCCAATGCACATTTGAGCTTTAAAGTAATTCCATCAGTTTAAAGTGTATGTAAAGTCCAAACCTTTTTTCCCCCCAGTTTTGGATAGAGTAAGGAGGGGTTATTTTTTGCGGTGTTCTACTGGGGAGCTTTTTCTTCCCCCCTCCTGCTGGGAACTTTCCCTTTGGTCTTGGAAACACAACAGGAATTGAGAAGACATCTCCCCAACCAGAGAGGAAAACCGAACTTGGCACTGGAATATGTGTCCCTTTTAGAAGACTTCCTCTCATGACAGCCCTGAAATGTAGGGTTCCTCCATTTTTTTTGTCTGGTTCCAACAGCCTTCAGTACAAAGAGGGGTGAATCTCCCTGGTGGAGCACAGGCTGCAATGAAAAATTAAGAGGGTCCAAGCCATCTCCACTCTTTTCAAAATGCCGTTAGATTGACTTTAAGCCAGAAAAAATAAAATAGTGTGCATAGTCCATAAGCATACTTTCCTTGCTGTCATACGTTAGGCACCATGTCACTCCTCGACATCAAAAAAATGTTAGTTCAAAAGTGGTGTGTTATTGGGGTAGGATTGGTTGACTATGGGCACTTGTCATTTTTACCAAATGTTGTATTTGACAATAGCAAGTTTAGGGATACAGCATGTTTTTGTCCCAAGCTCCATATCTGTCCACTGCGGTCTTAAAGTGATTGTCGATATATAAATTACACCCCCCCCCCCCCCAAAAAAAAACATTCCTCACAAAAAGAAGAG